TGGAGCTGATCCATGATTCTAAGAGAGGTGATATTCTAGGATTTATCCTATGTAATAGGAGTAAGGCTTCCACTGTTACATATCTTTTACATTCTTCCACTTCAGGATTCTTGTTTCTGAAGATGACATCATTTCTCACCATCCAAATACCCCAGCAGAAAATGATGAAAATATCAAGAGCAAACTCCACCTTTAGCAGTGATTTCCATGCCTGGAAGATTTCTGAGATGGATAGATGGTCTGCAAATTCAAAGTTCAATATTCTCCAGCAATCTCTGGTAAAGGGACTGTAGAAGATTAAATGCATCACTGTTTCTTCTACTGAGTGTTGGCAGAGGACACATTGATAATCATCCAAGTACATTCCTCTTCTTCGCATCATGTTTCTGGTGCTTAGTCTATCTCTCAAAATTAACCAGAAGAAAATTTATGCTTCCCTTGACATGAAGTTTTCCAGAGCCATTTGAATATTGGTCCAGCTTGTGAGTGCCATGACAGAGATTTATAAGCTTTGGATGAGGAGAAATGGGGAGATCCCCAAATATAAGTCCACTTGTCATTTGAATTATTGAGTCTGAGAGTTAACAGTTCAAGTTGAAGGTCCTGAAATTGCAAATGAGCCTCAACTGACAGTGGTAAGTTAAAGAGATCCAGTAGTGAGTCAGTGTTATGAGCTTTGCTTAAGCTTAATGATTTGTTTTTTGCAAAGGAGTGCAACTGTGGAAAAAGCAATTTTCTCACTTGACCATTCCAGAGATCATCCCAGAGAAAGCAGGTTTGTCCACTAGAAATAACTACACTTGCCAAGCCTTTGTATTTATCCAGCAGCTTCAAATCATCTCTCCACCAGGAAGAGCCTTTGGGGACCCAACCTTTCAACCATACATTATCACTACATGAAAGGTTGGGTCGTCCACCTTACTTTATGAGTTATAAGTTTTGTTTGATCTTTGCCTTTGTCACTTCATTTTGAATTTAACGACATAATTAAGGTCCAGTAGCATCGCAACAGCTTGAGTTGTTTTTTAGGATATAAGCCATCAGTGTACGATTCACTAATGTAATATCTATGCTCAAGAGTAACTTCAGCAACATTACATTTATTGTTTGTTTTTTATATTTATATTTATATGGAAAAAACACAAGAAATTAGAACGGCAAAACCAAACGTAGGAACAAAAAAGAAAACGAGAAGTAACAGATCGACTCTGTTCGGGAGCCAAGGATGAAACCAGAACATAATAGAAAAGAAGTAATAGACAGTTCAGAATCATATTTTTTCTTTACTAGCAAATGTGCCCGTGCATTGCAATGGAACCTAATACGTATAGGTGTCGAACTAATGTCATCTTTAGATATGAGTTGTTATAACTTGTTTGAGCATGGTATACGAGCTCGAGTCATATACGATGTACAAAGTCTTAACTTTTTATTTCTTGTCTAATATTATACTCATTTTAGAACAAACATATTAATGATATATACGTAACTGTACAACAGGAAAGAGAAGAGAAGTATTACTATTATTATTATTATTGTTGTTGTTGTTGTTATTGTTGTTGTTGTTGTTGTTGTTGTTGTTGTTATTATTATTATTGTTATTGTTATTATTATTGTTGTTATTGTTATTATTATCTATGTCAGATTATTGGATGATAAATCATTTAAGATTTCTGTCACGGATTATTTATTAGATTAGAGAAGGATAAATAGTTCATAGACCCATAATATACTGTATTTGCTATTATTATGTTATTTATAAGGAAATGGAAAAAGCGAAAAAAAAGTCATGTACATAAAGCGAACGTGGGGTTTCCATCTAACGGACAAAAAACCCAAAAAAAACAAAAAAAGGAAACGGAAAAGGACAAGGAAACATCTCCCACGTAAACAACTAACGGTTCCCTGTGGAGGAAAAGGGAACCGGAACTTTTGCGGAACAGATGGCGAGACCGAGGCACTTTAGGATTACTGGCAAACTTGCCTGTGCGTTGCAACGGGGTGTACATCTTATTATGTGGTTAGCTTGACAATTGTCACTTACATATGGGGAGCGCTGGCGTCTGGACGTCCGATGGATACAGATTCATCGGACAGTTCCATGGACGCACTCCCCCAGCGCTCCCATTCCGCACCACACGCCCGTCCCAGCGCTCCGGTTCCCAACGCTCGAGCGCTCACTAGCCACAGCACGCTACCAGCACCGGCGTCCCGCAGCCCGTCGCGTCCGCCCCACACCCGTGACGAGCATGCTGCATGCCCAGCGCCCCCATGGCCACAACACCCGCGTCCGCCAGCCCCAGCACCTCCGCCCGCTAGGCCCCGGCCAACCACGCTCCCTTGTGCGTCCCAGCTTGCCCCTCCCCGGGCCAAACAACAGAGAAAACTGGAATAAAAACACGTGCAACAACACGGAAATACCTACTGCAACATTAGGCTGAAGCAGCTGAAACACCATGACACTACCAGAAAATGGAAATTTCGTGAGAGGAAAGTATTTTCATGAGTGTTGAAAATGAACCCTCATGAAATTAATGCTTTTCATGAGGGTGAGTTAAATCCCGCCACGAAAACTGATTTTTGTGAGAGTGGTTCGTGCACCGCCTGGAAAATACAATTTTCGTGATGCTAAACTCTCATGAAAATTGATATGCTGGCACGCACTCTTGTTTTTTGTGAAATAAAATCATTTGGCGCCAATGACCCACGCTTTCGTTGGGTATTCGCGCCACAGGGAAAAATAGCCCGCGCATAACTTTTCGGCCCAATATACACAACAGCCCGAGCCTCACAGTCCAACCGCACCCCAAACCCTATCCTCCAGTCGGCGGCGTGCCTTATCCTCTCCACCCGTGAGAAAAAAAAGAGCCGACCCGTCCTCATGGCTGTGGCGCCCTCGCCGCCGCCGGTCTAGCCTGCAGCCACGCTGCCCTCTCCGGCCGCCGTCGCCGCCTGGCAGGAGCCGCGCCGCCCTCTCCGGCCGCCGCCGCAGCCCGGCAGGATCTCCTTCGTATTACCGCTGCCTACGTCTGATCCCGGCCCTGGGGCACAGTGAGAGGGCGCGAACGTCCCAGGCCTAGGGAGCCGATGGGCCTCTCCCCGAGGTAAGCATACACCAGTAGTAGTATTCTGTCAACCCAGCTGACATACGTATACTAGGCTGCTGCATGCCGCACACAGCAGCAAGTCTCTTCCACTAGAGTTGCAGATCCTCTTTCCTCTGCATACGTAGACTTGCAACTTGATTAGTCAAATATTCAATCTGCTAGGCACTAGGCTCCCTATTGGTCTATATTCCCTAATGGTTTGGATTCCTCACTACCAGCTTAACTTGCGAAACTTTCAATTTATTCAAACTTTGCCTATTAGAGACAAAGTGTCTCATCATTTTAAAGAGACAAAGTTGATTGTTGTTTGATATGCTCGTTGGTCGTGGCAGAGTATCACAATCGTTCATTTGGTTTGCTAGGTTAGGGGTGATGCCCGGGATCTTCTCAATGAGATTAATTAATTTAGGTTCATGATGTGGGCACTCTATTTGCTGGAATGAAATGGGAAATTAAATGAGAAACAATTGATTGAAGAGGGGCAACCAATGCAGGAACGCTTGGCTTTATAAGATAATCTTTTGGTGAACTTTTTTCATGCCACTCATGCTTCTTTCATGCCGATGGTGGTTCATTCAATAGAACACTACTGTTTGAATGAGTTTGCTCTACTAGAAGAGTTTAACTAAGAACATCCGGCCAAATGGTCATTGTTTTCTTTTAATTTAAACATTATGTTACCTTTAAGACGAGCTGGTCAAGGTGAAGGCATGCTTGTTTTAAAAACAAATGCAGTAGCTTTTACCTTTTGCCATTTTGATACACATATCATAGCCATCAAGCAGTTCAATGGTCACAGTCTTTTCCCCAAGAATACAAAGTCTACTGTAATGAATCTACCAGTAATTGTTGATTGCAAACACCTGGCAGAATTTCCCTGTGCTGTGGTATACTTGTGTACTTTAGAATTTTCAGCTGAAAATGAGTAATTCACATACTTCATAACTTCTTGGAAATGGAGTATTCGTTGTTGTATTCAGCTAGCATCTTTTCCATGCTTATTTTGCTTCTTCTGAGAAATACTATATTTCTACTGTAAATTTCGTGTGCTAGTTAACATCTGCAGCACGGTCATAACTCGCCTATATATTTTTGTTCTAGGTCCAAAACCCTCAGGACCGGCCCTGCTGATCCAAGACCGAGCTCTGCAACCTCTCAGGCCGCTGGTGCCCTGGATCCAGCCCACCGACGCCTTCATCGAGCCCTCCGACACCCTGCATTCAGCACGCCGTCCCTCAGGCCACCTCTACTCTTTTCCTCCGTCAAGCTCTGAGGAAGAGAAGGCAGCAGCGACACCGAGCTAGGCTCTGAGGAGAACGCAGCAGTGACGCCAAACCGAGCTTGGAGGAGACAGGGTCCTACCTTGTGTGGATCTCGCTTCCCTACTTCCAATCGGAGTGAGTTAATAAAGCTTCATCTTTCTCCTGAAATTTTCAAAGTTGTGCTTAACCCATATGAGGATGCTTGATGCATCTCACATGGTAGTTTGCTTAGTTTTTTGCAGTGTACTTAATTGGGATTATATAAACTATGTTGTGTCTCTAACAATTTTGCAAGATCTGGTAGACTGGAACTAAGTGCGACATTTGCCTTACACCTCAACTTAATGGAGCTATGAATTTTGCATTGATCCATATATACTGAGAAATTACCTCTTCTGCTGTTGGTATAATAGAATATAATGCCATGATTTTCGATGGTATGGTGAATCTGTAGAAAAATAATGTTTTTTGTGGCTGATTGCTCGCTGCTGTATATATGCAAACATCATAATATGATTGTATTGTATCTCTTGGTAAACCTATAGAAAATAGTTTTTTGTTTGTTTGATAGCCATGTGAATTTTTCCGGTGTCTAAATTCTGATTTTTTTAATGAAAACAGAAGAAAAAGAATGGAAGAACGTGACTGGATGTACACTGGTTGGTCTCATACACAGCCCCTCTCAAATGATTGGATAGATAACACCAACCAGTTTTTGGATCGTGCCTTCTCTATGCCTAATCTAGTTGAAGATGGCACCATTAAGTGTCCTTGCATGGTATGTCGCAATTGTGTTAGGCTCTACGATTTGAATTGAAATAGCTGAATTTTCCTCTTTTATGTATGTAGAGAGTGTTCAAGGTATCTCGAGCTGATGTGAGAAAAGCTGATCACAATTTGGATGCGTATCTAATGAAAAGAGTTTCTGATTTGATATATCAAACTCGTTTGGATGCTGTTAAGTTTCATGCAAAATGCAATGATAATGAAGCACGCGACATACATCTTACAGAAGAAGAATACATAAATAGTAAGCTAGAGTGGTGTGCTCAAGATGCTTGGTGCTTTCTGTCAAAGTATTGGGCAAGTGAGAGGTACATGGAAAAGAGGAAGGTAGCTCAAGCTTCACGCCTAAAGTCTGAAGATGCTGCTCAGAACCGAGGAGGTTCGAGGCCATTTGGTGAGACACAACAGCTACTGGTATGAAATCTTTCTTCTTTTGTGGTCTTGTATGAAATCAAGTATTTAAAGATTAGGAAATTCACTTGGGTGGTCTTGTAGGAATATAAATTTGGCCCTGGCAAGGCTAGCACTGTGAACACATATGCTGTGATGAAGTCTGGATTTAAAAAAGTGGACAGCACTGGAAAAAGCGCTCCCATTCCTAGTCGGAGAGCAGAAAAGCGTTTGGTATGTATTTTTGCTTCTCTATGCAACTCCCTCTATTTGCTTGCTGCCATTTCATCATTAAATGTTTCTTCCTTCATTCTACATTTCTGTATGATATAAATCCAAGTGATATAAATCTGAATCTAACCTAAACATGTAGTTTAATACAACAATTTGTAAATCTAATCTGACACCAAGTTTATGATACAAATCTGAAAACTATATAAAAATTTGAGTGTCTTAATCAACCTATATGATGGAGGGTTATAGCTAAAACAAACTATAGATAAATACATACAGTTTATTGTGACAGTTTATTATCTGCTTTCTTAGTTCATATCAATGCTCTGGTATTTTGTCTTAGGCTAACTACATTACAAGAACAAAGCTACCTGAGAATTCAAAAGATTTGGATGCAAACGCATTGTATGTCATGGATCATGGAATGGCCCATGGTAGGGTGCCAATAGCTGATGGTTGTGTCGATAGACAAGCACTTGCAGCAACAGCTAAATCCCATCGTTCTTCAGCAAGAACTGCTGCCTATCAATCCATGGTACATGAATATGAGCAGTTGAAGGAGAGGAATGATGCCTTGGAACAAACAAATAAGAAATTGAATGGGAATAATGAGATTCTCATTGAGGAAAATGGTGTTAATCGTCAGCTTATGCTGGTAATAAGCAATCCTTTTCATTTACCAGTTTATTGATCATATGCATTGATCCAACGTGCTTACACATAAATTTTAGACAATTTTTGAAGATCTGAACAAGCAACCTCCTGCTGATCTAATGAACCGTCTAGCAAATCTTGATGCCCATTGTCATCAGGTAAATGTGGTACTATTCACAAATCTGAGCCTGTTTTCACAAAAATAGTTAGTAATCTCAACAAACATAGCCCACTGTATAATCTCTTTTTACTTGAAGACTGAAACATTTCAAACATACTTGATCTTTTTTAGGTCTCTGAATCATCACATGCTGCCACTCACTCACTTGAAATGCTTAGCAATGACAATGACATAGTCACTGATGATGATGATGAAGATTACAATGAGATGGATGACAATGAATAGCCACGATGACAACAGCAGTATCAGTGATGACTTTGATGAAGATGATAGCGGAGGTAGTGAAGGTGACGACATAAGCAACAACCATGAAGAAGAGGATGGCGACCATACCGACGGGGCTGATATCAGTGATAACTGATGCAATGGATGTGATTGGAACCTGACCATTGCTAACCTTTTGGCTTCTTTTGCTAATCATCCATCCTTGGTGCTGTAGTATGTGTATGTGCTGGCTTTTGGCTTCTTTTGCTAACCAGGCATCCTTGCTGTTGTAGTAACTAGTAAGTATATATATATGTGCTGGAAGGTTGCTACTCTATGCTGGAACTTATTATATTGCATGGTTCGGACTCGGTGCTGCAACTCATCATGTTGTATGTCTAAGACAATGAGCTAGTCCTTTTAGTGTAATGGCTGGACACTTGGATGGATCTAGAATGTATTGTGATTGGAACCTGTTGCCTATATTCACATATTGGAAGACATTTGGATAATATATATGCATTTGAAATTTGGCATGAGATGATCCTGTTGTTCGGTAATTTTCATGACAGTTTGAAACTCTCATGAAAACATTCTTCTGTGATGGCCTGAATATATTTTTTGTGGTGTTGTGCCCTCATGAAATGCATTTCATGACGCTGACTCTCACAAAATACTAAATTCTCACGAAATTCATTCCATGACGGTGACTCTCACGAAATTCATTCCATGACGGTGACTCTCACAAAATACTAAATTCTCACGAAATTCATTTCATGACGGTGACTCTCACGAAATTCATTCCATGACGGTGACTCTCACGAAATGTTTAACTCTCACGAAATTAATTCGTGACGGTTACCTCTCATGAAATACCACCAGAAACCCTCATGAAATACCTATGCAAATCTGGAGGCAACTTTATTTTCATGAGGGTGACCCTCACGAACTCCCGTCAGGAAAATTATCCGTGGCGGCCAACTCTCATGAAAATGAGATTTTCGTGTGTCTATTATCGTGAGAGTTTTTGCGTGACGGTGTACCCTCACGAATTATTTTCGTGAGAGTAAAAGCATATTTCGTGACGTGATTTGCACTCTCACGAAATCTCTGGATTCTGGTAGTGTGAGAATATTATTGCAACAACAAAGGAACAACAGCTGCAATATTAGGCTGAAGCAGCTACATCATGAACATACTATTGCAACAACACCGAACAAAAACTGCCGCAACAATAGGTTGAAGAAGCTGAAACATTTTGGAACATATTATTGCAACATTGGTGTGAAGCATATGAAATAACGCTCAAAATAAAAACACTTGCAACAACATGGAACACCTACTGCAACATGAGATTGAAGCAACTGAAACATTTCGAAAGTATTATTGCAATATTTGTGCGAAGCATATGAAACAAAATGCAAAAAGACTAATGCAATAAAGAAATATTGCTCGTTGCAACAACAAAACGACGCTACTGCAACAACTTAAACAAAAAAGCTCAATGCGAGATGCAACATCAGGAAAAAAACCTAATGCAACAAAGAAATATTTCTTGTTGCAACAACAAAACAAGCCTACTGCAATAGAGCTAGCCGGAACCCTAGCCACCGCCGCGTCCCTCAAATCCAGACCCAGAGGAGGAGGAGGAGGAAGAGGAGGAGGAGGAGAAGGTGGAGGAGAGCTCAGATCTAGAGGAGGAGGAGGAAAAAGACACTAGTACAGAACCGAGCTTTACTCCCGGTGGGGAACCCCCTCTAGTCCCGGTTCCCCACCCGGGAGCAAGCATCCGGGACTAAAGGGGGGGTCCTTTAGTCCCGGTCAGAACCGGGACTAGTGAGGACCTTTAGTCCCGGTGGGTAACACCAACCGGGACTAAAGGTGCCTCCCGACATGCCACGATGGTTTAAGCACCTTTAGTCCCGGTTGGTAATACGAACCGACTAAAGGTTTTTTTCTTTTTTCTTTTCTTTTCATTTTTTGTTTTCTTTTCAAAATAGGTTTTCAAAGTCGTATTGTACGCTGCTAATTATACATTTATACGCTGCATATAGTATGTTTCGGTCAAGCACAATGAACGTATTAAATCACACAATTCAATCATAGAAATATATATATATATATATATATATATATGCATGCATCATATATATATTTACATGCATGCATGCATATGTATATTTTACATTATATTATTTCATGTGCATATATTACAAAAGATTGCATTATAGTTGTTGTGACATAACAAGTTTCTTCTCATCCTCTAGCTTGGCTTCAATGGCGGTGTTGGGTCAAGTAGAACTCGCCCTTGGAATCGATGACCTGCTCATTAAAAAATCCGCTATAGACTCTTGAATTGCTTTGATTTGGTCTTGCCGTATGACCTTTTCCTCCAACCATCGAGTCTACAGTTTTTGATTAAAGGAAAATAAATTAATATATGTACATATATATATATATAAAGACATAGTAACACAATCAATAATAATAATTAAATGAATATATAGTGTATTTTAACGTACTTTGAGTCTCTCTCAGTAGGAGTTCTTTGGGAGAGCACCTTGATAAACTTGCAAACATAGTAACCACAGTGAGTTGTTCCCCTGTTCTCGCTTTTAGACACCACTTTACGAGAAAAAGATTTGTCATCCAATCTGGTGATCCGGTGAAAGCTATATGTTGAATTAATAAAGATGATGCGATTCAGGGACTTACTTTCAAAGGATTACATTCAAAGGCGCTTTGCATTTTTCCATGTGTTGCTTCTCAATAAAGGTTTTCCAAACACCGCCTAATAAAAAATTTGCCACGTCATCGATATAGTTAATCATCATGTTTGTGTGTATATATAGTTGCTAGAGATCTCGAAATTACCTCTGGATAATATCTATCATATCTTGGTAGTCTTGTTGTGGTTTTCTCATCGAGTCATAGATTATCAAGTGACTTTTCACCGATCGATGTCCATCAATATCCAAAGATTGCTGCATGTGTTTATAGGATATAACGCATAACACTCATTAATTAACTAGAATCAACATATGAGCCATTAAGGCTATGATCGACATGATTAACACTCACTTGAAGTTATAGGAAAGAGTATATCCTTCTTGTGGCGTTGGTTCACTAAGAAGTTCATGAGGTTACTCTCGACTCGCACTTCCAATTAGTCATTGGAGTAATTGGGTCTTTGAATACTATATGGGGATCAACAAAACCAATTTCATTGCAGCCTTCCTTTCTCGAAAGCTCTCGTCATTTGTAAATCTGCATATATATAGTACTTGTTAGGATAATTTATATGCATATACACACATATGATGAGTTTAATAATAGATCGAAAGAATTATTACTTACAGTGCAATAGCAGACTAATGATAACTTTGTCCGTAGAGGTCGTGGCATAGTTGATGAAATTCGCAAAGTCAACATACATAACATCATCGCCACGGAACCAATGTTCGCCTCTAATTCTCGACACCAACGCAGAAGTCTCCATCGGTAGACGCTTTGCATGTACCACTTGTTTAGCGGTACATTTGCGTCCCCCAGCATCGAGATAAGGCTTGAGGGTTGTATAGACTCGCCTAGTACAAATTTTTTCTTCCAAATATCAACCTCCGCCGCACTCTCAATGTTTCCATCACCAAACATCTGGTAAAGGTCGAGACCAGTCTCATCAAGAAATTCACCAAGGTGATCCAAATCGACATCCGGAGGTATGTTTGCTCGATGCATTAATCCTAAATTCAACCATATTCATTACCAACAACTAGCGGGGGATTGATTGCGCGCTTGTTGTCCGAGTTGGGCAACTCCTTTCCCGCCCGCTTTTTTTCTGTGTGTCACCTCAATTGACTTGGTGAGAGTGCGGTCATAGTCCGATAACGTTGATTTGGACGGCTTACGAGATTCCCATTGTTGATGCTTTGGTAAGAAATCACCTTTTTCTTAAAATATCCGAGCTACGAAGAAGCACGGTTTCTCCGGTTTCTCCTTGCTTCTTGATTCATTTTAAGTTTGTCATAGAATCTAGACATGTCTTTTTTATATGCATCAGCCTTCTTCCTTCTCTTCGGATATTATTTTGGGAATAACCCTTGGTTTCACGGTGGCTTTCTTTGCAAAAGGGGACCTGGTTCTTCGCTTGAGGGGCTGACCTCTTGCTAGGCTTCTTGGTAGGCGGGGGCGGGAGGCGTTGGAGACCTCCTTGGAGGTGTTGGCGTGGCGTTGGAGACCTCCTTGGAGGTGTTGGCAGGGCGTTGGAGACCTCCTTGGAGGTGGCGGCCTGCGGCGTTGGAGACCTCCTTGGAGAGGGTGTGGATGCAGCCTCGCCTTCCAACACAATGTCATCGTCACAGAGCACTATGATGATCTCAAGCGATTGAACAATTGGATTTAGATTGGGGAGGATCTGCTACAAAAAAGGAATGACATATTATTATGAGCAGATTGTTAATTATTTAAGCCAATACAAATTAATGATGTAGTGTTTTCATCCGCACATACCTATGGTGAGGTAGTTCAGGAGGAGGTGGAGCCGACATCCCTGGAATGATGATGTAGCGCTTGCGCCATAGAATGAATGTCTTCTCCGCTTCTCCTAGAGTCTTCTCGCCATCACCTCCAGGAATGTCAAGAGGCAAATCACTAAAACCTTTTTCAGCTTTATCTACCGAGATGGTGGCATATCCTTCTTGGATTATATTCCCATGAATCCTTGGTGTCTTGGTTCGGTCGATAGGATTAACAAGACCGATAGCCACCTTGATTGTGGAATTCTCCTTCGAATGTGTAGCTCACACGCCAGTACAAGGTTCATGGCGCCATCCACAGGGAAGCGCAGTCCTGTGTCCCCTTGATTTGGTATCTCCGTGGAAGCGCAGCTGCTTTTCAACTGAACAGATTGGCTAATGTTGATTCCTGGCTCTGATGCCTGCTTGCTTGCACTCACTGCTATTTGCACTTGCCTTTTGATTTCCTCCGCATTCTCGCTTCAAGGTTTTTTTTCCCGCCTCGTG